TTTCGGTAGCGTATTCACAGCGCGGCCTCCCAGACGAGCTACTTGACTTTCCTATTACAACCTTGTTGCCGGTGTGACTTTTTGTAATTTTATCGTCCTTCCTCGGGACAAGAAATGAAGTCCATCCAGGCATCTCCGAAGAGGTCTTGCACCATTGCATTTTTGCCACCTTCTGCTTCATTTTTTCACTTACATAATTCATGAAATTACTCTTCCTTTTGGACTCTGGAGTCCACGCTCAAATGTTTATTTGGTCCTGAAATCAACAGGACGCATACAGTAGAACTGCTCATATGGAATACCATCGGACAGGGCCCGAGGCCATTCCATATGACGGTTATTCCACAGCAGATAAAATCAATAAAGAAATGAGTTTTTTTGAAACCTCTAGCACCACTGTCTAGTTGAAGAACAATGAGGATTTTGTTTAAATTATCATGTTCTCAACTTCCTGCATCCTGTCAGCACAGAATTCATGCACATGCATCCCTTTAGTCATTTTAATGGGCATCATGATGGGAAAAGATAGCAATAAATCGATTATTTGGACACAATAGAACTATATAATGGTCGAAACAGCAATTTCACCACGGAAGAGATTCCCAAAACGGCAAGTTTGGCTCAAATTTACCATTTTGGCCACCCGCACAATGGAATATCAGCCTAAACCAAGGCTCCAGGGCTATTCCATATTCCAGATGATGGTGGGTGGAATATTCCCCTATCCAACATGGATATGCTTAAAGGTGATTCCATATGACGGTTATTCCATATGATATTATTCCACATGAGCAATCCAACTGTATCGGCTCGGTGGCGGACAGTCCGCCTTTCAATGAGTACTTATTGCTACAACTCCTTCAGAAGGTGCCGCTGGACCCGAGCCATGAGCTGAGATGGATTTATTTCCTTCGGCCTGGTACGAAATTTGTGGATCAACAACGGATGCAAAATCTATCTGGTAAATGGTCGATTCCAGCCCATACTGTTCTCCGCGCACACGGGGAATTATTTACTCTTCTGGGATCTCATTGTTGGGCTCAAGTTGGATTCCCAATCATCCTTGCGGGGTGTTGGTTTCAACAAGCGAGGTACGAGCTTCCCATGTTGAAGCGTCTGTCTAGGTGTTGGTGAGGTCTTACTTACCCTTTTTGCGATATTCTTTGGATATTGCCTATGTACATTCCGTCCTTCAGGGATAATTCTAGGGATGCAAATGTTGTATACCTAAGAGTATGTCGACTTTTCTTCCCGATTTCTTCCTCGTATCACTGAGTACCGAGCACTTGGGCACCGCGAGCGCTTTTTTTTGTATATCTGGGTTTTACAATTGGATCCAAATAATATCAACGCGGCTTTGTCGGCGAAAAGCCCCTCCCATGATAGCTCGATATCTCGAGCGGCGGTGTCTTCGAGAATTCTTGTTGTCGCTTCTGCGGTTTGGTTATCCCCTTCTTTGGCAACTCTACTCAAACTAAGGCAATGGCGCCATGATTTTCTGGCGATCACTGTGACATTTCTCTATCTATTGGCCGCTTGGATTGGCGAGCGCTCGGCGCCGGGCGTTCACGCTCCTTTTCGGGAACTACTGTCTCGGAGAACGCGGAGTTTCTTATCAAGATACACCCGGAATGTCATTATTCGGCCGATTGATTGAAGAACGCCGAGTTTCTGCAATTCCCGGTCGCGCGGGAATTGTCATAGTAGACGCGCGTCGGTTTCTGACCAACTAAATCGCGACTTGATCAATAAATGTCGTAAACTTTTCCTCGGGCTGGCGCCGACAAGATAGTCAGCCGTTCAATGCGCTGAATCATGCCATTATCAATTGGGCCTGAATCGCGAGCTGCCAATAAGCCTTCCTGGCTATAAGTGTGGGCAGTTGAACAAAGAAATTATCCAAAAACACTCCCTTCCATGTCTTATCCAACGTTCTCATTCGTTACTACAGCCGACGAGGTTGCCGCTGCCTTTGCTGAAGAAATCAAAGGCAAAAATGGTGCGCATATTCCACAGACCCCGCCTCTAAGATTTCTCCAACTTCATCAGTTTTGATAACCGGCACGTCCCTCAATGGGATTGGCTTCGATACTGCGCGTACCATCGCAAAATACGCTAAGCTTGTGGTCATCACTGGCTACAATGCCGAGAGGTTCGTTTGCGTGCTTTGAAACGTCCATCAGATTCACTGATTCAAACACCGAATGAAATGCAGACTTAAGCTCTCGGAAGACGCCATCAAGAAGGAAGTACCCACTGCCAACATCCACCGCCTCACCCTCGACCTCTCGTCCCTCGCCAGTGTCCGCGAAGCCGCCGCGACGGTCAACGCAAATCCGGAGCCGTTGCACGTGCATACACTTTCCTCTCCGTCCTTTCCCGTTCATCGCCATCCACATACTTACAAATAACGTTATGAAGGTGTTAATCCACAACGCAGCAGCAGCCATTGGATCCTTCAAGCTCACCACGGATGGCCTGGAGAGCCAATTTGGCACAGACCACGTCGGGCCTTTCCTACTAACAAAGCTCCTCGCCCCCAAGTTGCTCTCTTCCAGGACGCCAAGCTACACCCCTCGCGTGGTTTTTGTGGCCAGTTCCGCCCACACTTTCGGGACCGGCGTGGACTTTGCCGTCCTCACGCACCCCGATCCGGCGAAGTATCAAATCTCCGATGCGTACTTCCAGGCCAAGTCCGCCAACATCCTTACCGCCATCGAACTGTCGAAGCGGTCCAAGGGCGCGATCAATGCGTACAGCCTGCATCCTGGAGGTGAGCAACGGGGATATATACAAATGATTACTTTGTTTACGGGTGCCAGTCATCTCCACGAATATCACCCGGAAGGAGGAGTCCATCCCGGAGTTGCAGGCTATAGGTTTGTCTTTGTCCCTCATTCGATGAAGATTTATTGATGGTCTTGCAGGAATCCTCGGCCCTGACGGACTCCCGAACCACGAAAAGTTTGATTGGAAGACAACTGCTCAAGGGGCCGCGACGTGAGTTGGTTCACCCTGCCTCAATCTCTTCGAATCTCGTATTGATATGAATTTAATTCCCTAGGACTGTCGCCGCGGCGTTCGACCCTCGGCTCAACGGTTAGTCTCGTTATGAGTTTCCTCTGAGGAAGTGAAATGATAATGCGACACAGACAAGCCCGGGGCCTATCTAGATGATTCTATTGTCGCAACCGCCTCGGTCGCGCCTCACAGTTCTGATCCCGTGCGTCTCCTTTCTTCCACACCGTCAGAGTTATGAATATTCATTGGATTGGAACTCAACAGGGCAATGCTGCAAAATTGTGGGCCGTTACTGAGGAGATTATCGGGGAGACTTTTACTTTCTAATGTGGTGGGATTCCAAGCACTGCGGATGTATACCTAGACGCTGTGAAATAATTTTAGACTTCCACATCTAATCGTCTCGCAGTCATGAAATTTTGGAGAGTACACTCTGAAGACATTTTTCACAACATAATAAGGGAGTTTCTCCTCATAGACATTGAACGGACGGAATGTGAACCGTTTATTCATAATCATTTTCCACACCTTTGTATAGGAGTATATATTCAACATCGCGCCAATCAGCAAGGAGATTTGCACATGTGGTGCCCGATATTATGTGTGGCGATCACGCATGGCCAGAGCTTGATTCCTGTGACGCTACGGAGTTTCAAGATGAAAGCCATAAAAACGAGAAGTTGATTCTTGATCTTGCGTACACTTGCTGACATTGAGCAAGTGTTGTAAGTCTTCGTGTTAGAGAATAACTTGCACTACTTGGTTTTCTATCTAGGTTTGTATATCTATTGCTAAGTCTTTTAATCTGTCTAAATGAGTATAAGAGACTCGCCAAGTCCATGAATTTATCATCTGGAACAGGCGAGTTGCCACTTGCCGGACTCAGTGGTCCTATATGGCACATATAGTGTGCAAAAATTATTTGCTTACAACTTCATGTTGAAAACGAGGTTTTCGATGACATTTCTCAATATAACCACCACCAAGATCACGTGGAACCATCTTTCCAATCGGCCTGTAATCTCTTGGTTTGACAAATTACAGTTTGAAAGGTTCGCTTCTGCGGGACTTGGTCGTGAAAGAGGTTTATGTTTTTTGATTGGATTGATCAAAACAAAATCCACAAACGGAAGTTAACTGAATTCTCCGCCTCTGAGTGCCACTGCACTCCTAAACCAGGACTCCTTGCATGGAATAAAATGTCGTGAATCATTTGATGTAATATTCATGAAAAGAATGAGAATACTATACGTTCACAGGGCTTATGCAAAAAGACGGGGTTAAAAATGCGACTTTCACCAGTTTCTTGAGGAATAACCTCTCAGTGGGATGTTGGAAACAGTTTAAAAGTACATAGGTATTATCCGGTACAGCGAGTAAACTTCTGAGGCGTGAAATCAAGTGTGGGGCAGCGCGCCGCGCTGAGCCGAAAGCCGAGCTGATCCCAAACAAATGAATTCTGATGCCGCCAACAGATGTAACCTGACTGGTCTCAGATGTAACCCAAATGAAAGAAGTCAGTCAGCATGAGAAGTTGTCACCCAAGTTCAGATTGCAGTTGCAAGTTGTCAGCAAAAACCCAGAAAAATAAGGGTAATTTTTGCACAGTATATCGTCCAGAATCCTGTCCTCCAAGGTTGGTTTCCTGCCTGGTTCCCGATACGCAAGCTTGAGCTTGAAGCCCTTGTGAGGATGATCATGGAAGTTTCGCTGCTTGAACCGTTTACCCCTGGCCATCAACGAGGCAAATGTCGGCGGCGATTACCACTCTCGGTGTACCCTCAGGCGTCTGCATTCGTGCCACTGGGAATCTCGCCGGCCTTAACGATCAGGTCTCCAGCATCTCGGTGTCGAGGCGACCTGCACTTTGTACCAGTGCTTCTTAGCATGGATGCTCACAACCTTCAGGACGTTTTCAAAGGACTGGGACTCTAAACCGTGCAGGTTAAGAAAGGTTCAACCCAGGATACAAAAAACAAGACCCAGTGGCTAGCGGTGGCGCCCGCACCAAATGGATCGTTATTGCTGAACCTGATGTAAGCGGGAGGTTCTGGTTCGATTCCGGGCTGGTCTTGCAAGAATACCAGCGGCTTTTTTTTCTTTCTTACTCCGTAATCGTAAACAAATCCTAGAATCAAACCAACACTCCCCGTGTTCATCCAGGATGAACAAGACCTAATGGCCGATGGTGGCGAGCGCATCGCATGAGGGTAACGCGTTTTCGATGTAAGCGGGATGTCCTGGTTCGATTCGGGGTTGGGTCTGGCAAATGATGAGAGGCGTCATTTTTTTCCTTCTCTTATTGGCTGGCTGATCCCACACGCGCTCACGCTGGCACCGTTCTTGGGCCACGTATTCAAACAAATCCCAAAACTCACCAACTCAGGGTTGATGGGATGTAACCCAGGAAGACGTGATCTCCGGAGTCTGGATGGCGATCCAGAGCACGTCGGGCGAAGATCCTGGGCTGTGAACGGTTCATGGAAGGAGTAAGAGAAGAATAAATTTCAGGTAGCGCTTTTGTTTGTCGTGCTGTGACTCTTGTTCAACACAGAGTATCCTCATTCAATAGTTATCCAAAGCTGAACATTTTCCACCGTAATATATTTCGCGTGTCTCCACGTCTCTCTCGACAAAATAAATAGCTTTGTTTGTCCCTTGTACTTGTACATACATATTTACAAACCATCTCAGCAACGTGCGCATTGAACCTCCACACGGACTTCTCTCCACACCTCCTGCTGCACTACCTAAATTATTCCAGCAGTGTCGCGGTTCGCGTCCCAGCATGGCGAGAATCCATTAATTATACGTATCGTCCCACGACATTTGAATGCTCCCCGTGGAAATCCAAGTATTTTGAGTCATCTGGCACACACAGGTATCCCAGGCGTCCTTCTGCACGACATCTGCTACCATAGCCTCGATCGACGGCACAAACCCGTTTTCATTGTCGTACGTCGATCCCAAGTCGGCCTGGAACTCCTCTATATGCGCCTTTGTACCGTAGAGGTCGAAGCCGTAGTACATGGTTTTCGGAGCGTTTGGTGGGACGGTGGCGCCTGGCACGACGCATTCGGAGATCTGCCCCAGGACAGCGCCAGAGCAGACACGAAGAGGAGCAGTGGATGTCGAGGTGGAAGTGGCGTTGGAGTAGGGAAATGCGACCGTAGAATGAAATCTAGGGACACCAGAACCTGGGTTGGGCAAACTCAACCAGACATTGACGGCATGCGAATGGTTTGCTCTAAAGGCCCGATTACTATGCAAGACGGTGATCGGGTGCGTGGAATTGGCCCTGGCAACATCCCACAACGTCACACCCTCGCCACTGGTATGGTGGTGGACGCCAGGAAAAGTCCAGTTCCGAATAAGGGTGTGATACTTGGTGACGGCTGCACTGAATTTGGGATCATTCGCGCGCCTGTGTAATTCAGTGCTCGTCCCAGACTGGGACCAGACCTAATCTATCATGTCGATGACGTCGTTAGCATTGACAAGGTCCGAGACTAGCGAGGCCGCGACATGGGTCTGGTATAACTCGCCGAGACCATACACCGTGGTGACGGCGCCAGGGATGCACGCTGTTCCACCAAGCGCTGATACCCCGCCTGTTATCCACTCATAGCTGCATTCGACCAGGCCGAAGAGGTCGATGAGCGAGCTGGCGACGGGCGCCTACTTGAGCAGTGACTTGGCCCACGTGAAGAAGCCTCGGCGGTAGACGATGGTCGACAGTTCGGTGTGATTGTCACGGAGCTGAAGGTCAGTACGGGACGAGGGCTCGCGGGGCAATGCGCGTGTGGTGGACCGGTCTGTGCAGGTCAACGGGATCATTTTGAACAGCCGGAGTGGCCGTCGCTGCCGTGGAGGGTGGCGTTGTAAATGTCTGCCGTGGAGGAATCCATCACGACATGAGTCCTGGTTTCACAAGCGGAATTGTCGCGTGGGGCGTGAATGTCTGTCGCGAAGATATGGTGGCGCCAAGGAAGGCAAGGAGTTCAGGGAGAAATAAATTTTCAAGGTGTACCGAGAGGTCGAGGCCTGGAAGGGACGAGCCTCAACCTCTACCATTTATATAGCAAATCTGTTCCAAACACCGAGTATCAGCACCTGGCAGATGTGATCTTCGTCCTTGGCGAAAGAAAATCTGATCTGAACTCTGACAATCTTGAACTTCAATACATTCGCAAAATGCGATCTCTTCCGAGTATCAGTAGCACTTGGCAGTTGTGATTTTGTCCCTGGCTAAAGAAAACCTGGTCCCAAGACATTTTTTTCACGAAATGCAATCTCTTTCTTGTTGGTTTTCTTCCTTCAAAGCCGGCGTCGCCGCGTCTTGCATTCAGAGGTGTAGTACCTGATTCGATGTGGGCTTCCCATTCTAGCGTCCAGTGTCTAGTCCCGCTCTTGGTCCATCTTGGCATATTGCCCCTTGTTTCTTTGTTGGTACAGTCTCAAACTAGGAAGCGCAACGACCAGGCTGTTTCATGAATATGTGAGCCAAATCTCGCGCAAATCACTCGGTCCAAATTGTAATTTGGATCGAATTGATATCTATTCCACAGCACAATTCAACTTGGGAGCAACATTGAGTAGTTCTTGAAAACAAGGCAAGTCTTCCGACACCTCGAATATGCCCAAATAACGTAGAAACGCAACACTTCGGATTGTAGTTCTGGGGGTATGCTTTTTGGTAGTTCAACCTACATATCTGTAATCAGGGAGGGACGTTGAAAACCCCCAATTAAACGAAATTGCATATGCCAGCAAGTACTGTGAACACAGAAAAAGGGAAAAGTCTGGTAAGTCAAGATTCGAGGCTGTGAAATGCGGCCACAAACAGCGCAATTTTGAGGCTTCACAGGAGCTTTTCCACAAATCCTTTTGTGGGCAGGATGATATGATACCCTACTATGCTCCTATAAATTTGGGACCTGGTCGGAAGCCTCAAAGATACGTAATTCCTAGTGTTGCGCTTCTACGTTGTGTTGTGCTTCCTAGTTTGAGACTGTATTACTTCCTCTGCCGTGATTAAAATTTCCCTTTTTTGCGCAGGTTGCTGGGACTCGAAGGGCCGCTTGATACGTGACCCCTGCCAGATTAACAGTTCTTAACGATTACTTGGGCGATTCTTTGATTTCATCCTCATATAGCTTATCTCCTTCCTCCCCACTCCCACCTAGCTCCCATTCCTCGACATCAAATGACCTCGCGCAGTCTGAGCGGTTTCAACCATAATAGTCCGCATTGACAGATCTTGTATTGCATCCTAAATTGTCTTAAAACTTTCCCTCAAGAACCCCATCCGGGTAAACACTGAGTTGACTCTCGACAGAACGCAGTTGAGGAGTCCATTTGGAAATGGAAGTCTGCCATCAAAAGTCCGCGATCAAATCGAAGTTGTCTCACGAGGCGGATCAACCGGGCCGCAGCTTGCCCGGTGATGCGTACGGCACCGCCACGTTATGGTCTCCAACGACCATCACTGACTCAACTAGTAGGATTGCGTCATGGATTCTATCGCCCATATTTCTGTGGATCCTAGGCTTCCAACTGACCTAGAATGCGTAATCTTCGGCATTGCGGCTCTCTCATGTCCAGCCGACATCCCAAATCTCATGTTGGTAGCTTGGCGGGTTAGGGAATGGTGCGTGACAGTAACTGGCAAATAAACAGACTATTCAAGGGAGACCATGGCTCAGGGTTGAACCTTTCTGTATCGAATAGTCATAGTCTCCTCCACACCTATACGCCAAATTCCCCATATCCGCGCTTTCTCAGCGGATGTTTTGCTCCGAATAATCGCGATGAAATCGTCGGGATTTCTCCAGAACGCTGTCAAACATCTCTTCATTGAGGAAGCCACGAGCGCCGAGGCGGAGACCATCTTCACGGCCTGCAGTCATGTCACGAACCTATTCGACAATGGCACATATGCCTCGAATGTGCGCGCGCTACTCACCCTGCAGTATATCCGACGGTTCGCGGTTGTCATCTGGGTGTTTGCAAAACGCTACACCATTGACAACACGCCTTCCGTTTTCCGCAATATCACCCATTTGGAACTACTCGGCACCTGGTGGGGCCACACGGATCTCAATGATGTGTGTGTACGCCTTGGCCTCATCCCGAATCTTACGCACATTGCATTCAATTTTGCGCCGCCTCATGAACTACTCTACACCACATTGCGCGCAGACACGCGGCTTCTGTGCATCGTTTTTTTGTCTTTGGATACGAACGAGGTGAACAACACCAATCTGCTGGCAGGTGATCATCGCTTTATATGCATTGACCAACGAATGCCATATCGCTTGGACTGGCTGCGCGGCGCGGACACCAATGATGATTACTGGGCGCTTGCAGATTCCTTCATCGCAGCAAGACGAATGGGTAAAATCGATCGTAAGTTCAAGCATTCGCCAAGTTTGTTTCCGGCCCTGAATCTTTTGTAGGTACACTGTACCACATCGCGGATGTGGACTCCTGGTGGAAGATTTAACATTTTGTATAAATTGCTATCGGCGCCTGTTTTGCCCGTAATTTCGTAATTTCTCTGCGTATCCTGGCTTTCACTTGATGCGAATGTCGTGGTTTCTCTCTCCAACGTCAATCTTCTTATTTTGCGGCTCCAAATAAATTTCATTATAGCTCTGGCCAGTGGTCTCCATGCGCCAAACCGGTTTACCTGTCTACCCACCGCACTCTCATGACCTATTTTCTGCTAGGCCAACGCCATACGATGAGTGTCTGTCCCTCTTCGCCGGCAGTTTCGGTGGTGCCGGTGGTGTCGTCGGTTGGCAACGCCTTACTCGCGCAACTGTGAGCGGGATGGCTCCGCTGCGCCTGTGGATTGAGTCGCCTTCGGCTGGTCTTTCCCGTCGCGGTCCTGTTCATCCTTGCACGTCGGGTGTCCTCCTCATCTTCGTCACCGAGTGCTTCGAGCTCGCCAAGTGCCTCCGGGTTCCTGCTCTCCTTCCTCTGCTGCCGTGGTATCTTCTATCGCGCCCTCCGTGGCTTCTATCTCTTTGTTTCGCGCTGACAGGCTGGCGCGGTCGTCTGAAGGGAAT